TGCTGCTGTTGCTGCTGCGGTGGCATTTGGTGCTGCTGCTGCAGCAGTATTTGCTGCTGCTGCTGGGGCAGCCGCTGTGCTTGCTGAAGCAGTGCCCGCAACACCTGCTGCTGTTGCTGCTGCAGCAGCACTTGCTGTTGCTGCTGCAGTACTTGCTGTTTCCGCTGCAGCAGTACTTGCTGTTGCTGCTAAAGCAGTACTTGCTGCTGCTACTGCAGCAGTACTTGCTGCTGCTACTGCAGCAGTACTTGCTGTTGCTGCTGCTGCTGCTACTGCAGCAGTACTTGCTGTTGCTGCTGCAGTAGAACTTGCTGTTGCCGCTGCAGTAAAACTTGCTGTTGCTGCTGCAGCAGTACTTGCTGTTGCTGCTGCAGCAGTACTTGCTGCTGCTGCTGCAGCAGTACTTGCTGCTGTAGAACTTGCTGTTGCTGCTGCAGTAGAACTTGCTGTTGCTGCTGCAGTACTTGCTGTTGCTGCTGCAGCAGTACTTGCTGTTGCTGCTGCAGCAGCTAGGTCTGCAAATAAGTAACACTGCGGTGTACAGACACCTACTTGCGCGCCGGCTCTCACTGCTAAACCCTAAACCCTTGTAAACCCTAAACCCTTGTAAACCCTAAACCCTAGTAAACCCTAAACTCCAGTAAACCCTAAACTCTAAACCCCACTAAACCCTAAATCCTGAGAAGCCCCCTACTAAACCCTAAACCCTAACAGGCCCTAAACCCTACCAAATACTACACCCCAAAGCATAACAAGCCCTAGGCCCTAAACCCTAGTAAACCCTAAACCCTAGTAAACCCTAAACCCTAGTTAACCCTAAACCCTAGTAAACCCTAAACCCTAGTTAACCCTAAACCCTTGTAAACCCTAAACCCTAAACCCTAACTGCTCAGCCCTAGGCTTGCAGCTCGGATGCTACAAATCCACATCTCGCGAATTGTGGATTTTGATTTAAATATATTCAAACACTTTAATTTAATTATATTTAAATATTTTAATTATTTTTAGACATTTTAATTTAATTATATTTAATCTTAATTAATCTCATGGCATTTAAACCCTCATAAGTGCATTTCATATGTATATATAGCCCCAAACCCTAAACCCTAAACCCTAATCGCTGCGGCCGTAGCTAAACCCTGACTGCAGGAGCAGCCTCTAAACCCTAAACCCTAGCCACAGAACCACCTCCAAACCCTAGCTACCGCCGCACACCTAAACCCTAAACCCTAGCTGCAACCGCTAAACCCTAAACCCTAGCTACAGGAACACTCCTTAAAACCCTAAACCCTAAACCCTGCTAGTTGCACTGGCTTATAAACCCTAGCTGTAGCTGCACCTAACAAACCTTAAACCCTAAACCCTCGCTGCAGCAGCACCACCTAAACCCTAAACCCTCGCTGCAGCAGCACCGCCTAAACCCTAAACCCTAAACCCTAGCGTAAACCCCAAACCCTCGACGGGCCAAATTTAGAAAAAGGAATTTACGCACTTTTGGTTTCTCCTCCAACAACAGCAACTAAACCTTGGGTCATCCCAACAGTCTCGAAAACCCTAAACCCTAAACCCTAAACCCTAAACCCTAAACCCTAATCCGCATGGCGCAGGTGGCGCCGCTGCAGGTCGCGCTGAGGGTCTGGGCCAGGCGCGGGTTAGGGTTTACGAGGGTTTAGGGTTTACGAGGGTTTAGGGTTTACGAGGGTTTAGCGTCTGCTGCGGTTTAGGGCTTTGAGGGTTTAGGGTTTAGGGTTTAGTCAAAGAGAGAGAAACCCATGTCTGCATCTTCCTCCTCCTCAGGCTCTTCCTGTTTCGCAGCCTTTCCCCCCTTGTCAGCAGCAGCAGGCTCTGCTGCAGCAGCAGGAGCAGCAGCAGCAGCAGCAGGAGCAGCAGCAACTGTGCCTGCTCCAGCGAGAAGGTCCCTGCAGCAGCAGCAGCAGCAAACCGACGCAAACCCCATGGCCAGCCGCAGCAGCAGCAGCAGCAAACCAACGCAAACCCCATGGCCAGCCGCAGCAGCAGCAGTAGCCGCAGCAGCAGCAGTAGCCGCAGCAGCAGCAGCAGCAGAAGACAAAAACTAATCCGAAGACAAGCGAGCAGCAGCAACAAACGAAAAGTTCGTGCTGCACTCTCCCCACAGCGCATGCAGAGTGTGGGGCCCGGGAGGCCTCGGCAGCAGCAGCAGCAGCAGCAGGCCAGCAGCGCGCAGAAACGGAAGCAAAACTGCAGCCGCCGTCGCAGCCGCAGCAGCAGCAGAGCGCCCCGCAGCAGCAGCAGCAGCAGCAGCAGCAGCAGCAGCTCACGTGATGTTGTGACCCTTGAGCGCCCGCGCGAAAAGGCCCGGCATGTAACACTCCACAGAAGCTCCTGCTGCAGAAACTAATTTTTGAATATTTTCTGCGGAAATTTCCATTCCTTCGTCGGAAAGAATCAAAGAAGCGTAAGTACAGAGGAGCTCCTGGCGCTGGCCGTCGGTGAGGGAACTTGTGGGCACTGCCGCCATTTTCGCCGAATAAAAGGGAAAATAATTCCAATATTTCCGAAAATTCCGCAAAAATAATCCCAAATGGCGATTCCCGAAGCCCAGAAACCCTAACTCGCAACCTTCCGCATATTCTGCTGCTCTCCCGCTGCTGCTGCAGCTCCAGCAGCAGCAGCAGCAGCAGCCCACCGCCGGCTGCAGCAGCGATCCCCAGCCCCCCCACGCCCCGGCGCATGCAGCCCCAAACCAATTGCTTTCTTCCATCAATTGTTTTCCTTCGAGTTGCATGCATTTATTTTAATCCCTTTGTAGTTCTGCTGCGTTTGCTGCTGCACCCGTCAGACAGCCTTCGCGGCTCGCGCCGGTGCTGCAGCAGAAAGCAGCAGCAGCAGCAGCAGCAGCCACCCACCTCCTGTTTTGGTGGGTTGGACTCAAAAGGCTAAAATCCCGAGTGAAATTCTTCTTAATTAATCAAGTTTTTAAAATTAATCAGAATATAGAAAGATGGAGCGAAGAAAGAGCTGGCCCTAGACGAGACAGCGGCACAATGCAGCCACTAAGACACCACGGCGAATTCTAGAGAGCGAAGGAGTTACAAAATTGTAAAAACATTTTTAATTATCTAATTAATAAAAGAACTTTTTATTATTTCTAGTGGCCCAATTTGCAAGTAAGACTTTTGAACAAATTCCACCAACTTGTTTTGTGTTCATTGCTTTCCAGGGCTGCTGCGGTGGATGAGTTGCAGCAGCAGCGCCTGCAATTTAAAGGCGACTTTAAACCCCACTATTTGGGATTTTAGGGTTTAGGGTTTAGGGTTTAGGGTTTAAAGTTTCGGATTGCCAGGGAGAAGTCAAGCAGCTCCCTAGAGTTCGCATAAAAGCCCACATTAATGTAGCACTAGGGAACCTCTGCCTCAGTGAAATAACAGGTAATTGCGTAATCTTCGCATGCACAAACAAACTTCATTGCAATTAATAGCAGTCTAAGTCGGGACAATTCCTGATGAAGATCAGAAATTAAAATTCCCAAGAATGTTTCAACTGATCTCAGAAAGAGAAAAGACTTAAACACAGCTCTTTGCGTGAGCTTGGCTGCACCTGCTGCTTGCCTTCTATGCTGCAAAAAAGCAGCACTGCAGCAGCAACTGCAGTAAAGGGCCATTGCTATAAAGATAATAAAGTTTTGAGCCATGCAGAAAATAAAGATTTCAAGGCAAAAGTGCGCTTCTAGAGGCCAGTTTATTTTTTATGGGGTCTAGAGATGAGTTAATAGGGGTGAATTAATTAAAAAACTTTTTGTTTATGGCTGTCAAAATGCAAGTGCAGCACGAATCGTTACCTGATTTTGAAGTATTTAAATCCACGCTCAAGAGCTTCTTTGACTTATGAATTAAAATCTTCTGTTTGGAGAAGGAGGCATCAAGGCCAGAAGCGGCTCAACTGAGAGTAAATGAGTTTCTTCTGTTTATTCAGTGAGAAGGATGCTTCCTTCTCACTGAATAAACACTGCAGGAGAATTCGCTCGTTAATCGCTATCCTTTCAATACTTTGTTTTGATTTGTAAGCACATGCAAATGCACATTCCTCCGTACTCATCAACAGTTCTTGCTTCCTAAATTCATCTCATGATGTTCTTGAGTGGCAGCTTGTCGCGTTTCTGATGACTGAAATCCATATCGCTTCTGTTGGATACATCAACCACCTAAAACGAATCGTTTATTTGCAAGTTCCCAAGTATCTAAAAGCGTTCGCCTTCTCCGATCTATAAAAATGAGAAACGGAAAGCTATTCGTGAGTAAATAAACAATTTTCAACCAAAAGCGATTGTGCAGATATCGCCTTTAAGCCTAACGAGAGGCTCTGTTGCCTTTTAATTCCTTGACGAAGAACCCCATGAGCACATTAAGGGTAGCCCGACCAGGAGCCGTTTTTCTGGGCTCACTGAAATCTACTTCTCTACAGAAAGCAAAATGTTCCAACACAAATGTGCAGTAAATGCCTTTGCTGGCGAATTCGTGTTCCTCACAAAGTTCTAGGGGCTTCTCTATTCACTTTTTAGTGAAGCATTACCGTCACCAGAAAAGTGCCTTAAAATGCTGATTAGATGCTTCTGCCCTCTGCTAAAAATTGCAACTGGCGGTCAACTGCCTTTCTTTGGTCTACGCTGGATAAAAATGCGAAACCCTATTGAGAAGAAGCTCATGAAAATATCCATTCATTACGTCTAACGGATTTGAATTTCAGTGAGAATACTTAACGCATATTCTACGATTGCAGCCAGCATTTATATAGGGTATTAATTTTTCAGATATAAAGGCTCGACGTTGCAAGAAGGTTTTTCTTTGTCGTCTGCGGCCTGCAGAGGTTCACTCCCTTTGCTTTCGAGTATTTCTTCAGAGCATGCGGCTAGTGAATAACGTCTCTTCACTATACCAAATCATCACCAATATTAATGCATCATGTGCATTTCCTTTATTCAATTTTCGTTTAATTTCTGAACCACGTCGAGCCTGTATATCTGATAAATTAATACCCTATATAAATGCTGGCTGCAATCGTAGAATATGCAAATTAAAAGAAGTCAGTAGTCCAGCTCCTTCGCTGCAAACACCTCACTAAATTATGATGAGACATTAGGTACTGGCCTTGCAATAACATGGCTACAGCGATTCTAAGATTTGGAGGAAATGCGCCCTTAGGCTCAGAAAAAGCTCGCGAAAGCAGTAAATAGTAATTTATTGCAGCACGCTTTGTACCAAGGGAAAGTGAAACCACTGGCCAAGAAAATATCGCTCAGGTTGAGCATTTGCACCAACACCAACCTACTGTCATACAAAAGAGTTCTTCATGGAGGCAGTTGGTTACGCAACATCAAATTTCGCTGCTCCTTAATGTACTGGAATGTAAAACCGTAGCTTGTAGAATAACTGTTATTGCTGTTTTCTTCATTGCCGCAAGCCTTAAGCAACTTGCTCCCATAATTTTTGAAATGCTTAGAAGTTGTATCTACCAATCCCTTTGCATACCTATTTGAAGACAAAGTTACTTGCATCTACTGGGCTGTTAACAGATGCCTCTCCTAAAACATATATTATGCCTCCAATTTCCTCACATGCGTTTTAATCACAAGAGCTAAAACCGCGAAGTGAAGATGAGGGCTCACCTGTTTATGCTCGGAGTGCCTCAGTTAGGCACATTTTTCCTTAGCGTAAACAAGAATGATAGGAAGATCATGCCTCATAAGTGGTGCGGCCAAGAGCCGGCACAAAACAGGCGTAAAGTTGCGAGTGTTCTATGCAGTGCAGAGGTATACGAATGACACACGGACAAGCAAATTAATGCGTTCGCCAAGAAATGAAATTAAATTCATTATTTCCGAAAGGCAACGCACCAGTGCAGCAGGCAAGTGTGAGCGGTGAATGGTTACTGACATCCCCACGAATAGCCGCCACGACGCTGCCGCCCTGTCTAAGGCGGTATAACATTCCAGTGAAGTCTTACAAAATAGATCAACAGCTTTTATTCAAGCTTTTTCCAACTGAGGCACTGTTGGCAAGTTACAAACGGTCCCAATCAAGACAATTATAGCCATGTGCCTTGCCGTTACAACTTGGACACCAGGCTGTGGTGCCACCAAACACAAGTAAACTCGCAAAACGTAACAATGCAAGGACTTTTCAAACATTTTGATTCATAGCTAGCCAGGACGCATTCTACATACCTACGAACGCATGCATATTCCATTTTCTGAAGCCTTTTTGCTGAGCGGACAAAATGTGTAGCTGCCGCTGCGCCCGGTAAATACTGAATAATACAACTTTGAGCCTACCTACCAGCTACCACACATTCCAGCTCTCAAAATGCAAAAATCTAGCTTTTGTGAAAGGCGTCAAAAGTAGTCAAGTGAAACGGGGCTGGCGGTAAAGAAGGGGCTGCACACCTTGCTTATAAGCTGCATAGCGTCTGCTACAAACCGACAAGCCATGAGCTTTCCTGCATATGTATATTAAATTTTTTACTTTTTTAAAAAATAGTTTCCAGCAGTGCCGTTGGCATTTGCTTTTTCTCAACGCGCACGCCAAGCGCAACTCAGGCCAGGTGACCGCCGGCATAGTCGGCACGCTCTCACTGCCCTCCTTGTGCCTTTTCCTTCGAACCATGAACTTTTTAATATAATTTTTTAAATATGAATGCCCAGAGAATTGGGCTTCTCTCCAATTTTTGGTCCACGAGATGCGGTGGGAATATCACTAGGCCAGGATATTGCCTTCACTATCCTTATTCACTGAAAAACCCTTGTGCGCCGAAAATCTGAGCTACACATTCGCCACCAAGTCCCTACAAGGTACAGGGGCGATTTTTGCTTCGCTGCCTTCTGCATGGTTCGTGGGGAAACTGCTCTAGATGAGCTCGCCTTTCCCCGAGCTATATGTTTTCAAATGCCTTATTGCTCGGATAGGTCGTGACTGCGCATTCAATATGCTTTGACTGGAGTAGATATCATCCAATATTTTAACAAGCGGGTAATGTGTATGGTGGAAGTCTACGTGCAAATAATATTCGACCACTTTGGGTCCGCCTAAGCAGAAGAAGCTCTCCGGAGTCATCTCCATTACGTAGCAGAGCCTCCAAGGGTTCTTATGAAATGCCCGCAACATCGGAAAAATTTTCTCTCGATTATCGTTAAATATTCATTTTCTTGAAAAAATTTTTTCCACCAGTTGGCCTGGAAAGGCAGCTTTCAGTTTGGGGTTTGAACCGCTACGAGAGTATAGAAGTGGTCCAGCGTCTGAATAACTCCTCTCTTCAGCCCCTACAAAGCTTCGCAAAACTTGTCATTGTAGCAAAACGAAAAGCCTCCAAGGGCTAGAGATGGGCATATTTAACTTCTAGGTCTTTCATGAAAGGGCAACTGATGGACCGATCTGCAGCAACTGCTGCTCCAGCAGGGAGCAGCAAGCAGGGCGTCTCACCAGTGCCTTCTGGATCTGAGGCTACTGGTAGAATGCTCTCTTTTTT